GGAACGTCTACATCAAGAAGAACGGCTTCACCCTGCACCGCAACCCCATCGCCCAGAGCACGGACGGGGCGCGGACCAAGATCGGGTTCAGCGAGGGCCGCCACGCCTGGGAGGTGTGGTGGGAAGGCCCGCTGGGCACCGTGGCCGTCATCGGCATCGCCACGAAGCGGGCGGCCATGCAGTGCCAGGGTTACGTGGCCCTGCTGGGCAGCGACGACCAGAGTTGGGGCTGGAACCTGGTGGACAATAACTTGCTGCATAACGGAGAGGTGAACGGCAGTTTCCCCCAGTGCAATAACGCGCCCAAATACCAGGTGAGCGGGGCTTGGCGCGGGCTGGAAGCTCCACCGCGTCTGACACTGGCTGGCAAAAGCCTGCTCCCTTGTGCGTCCTGGCTGGCTGCTGAATTGCTCCGAAATGCCCACCTCAGGGTCTCTCTGCCTTCCCTGCAGAAGGCAAATCGTTCTGCATTGTGAGGCCTTTCCCCCTTTATTCACTGCTTCTTCAGGCTACACCTGTGCGTGGTGTTCAGTGCACCTGGCCCTCAGTTGTTTCTGTGCTTTTATGCAGCCTCCCAGTACCTAAAGGGGCTACAGGAAAGCTGGAGAGGGGCTTTGGACAAGGGCGTGTAGTGACAGGACAAGGAGCAATGGCTTTAAACTGAAAGGGGAGATTTAGATTGGATATAAGGAAGAAATTCTTTCCTCTGAGGGTGGTGAGGCACTGGAACAGGTTGCCCAGAGAAGCTGTGGCTGCCCCATCCCTGGAAGTGTTCAAGGCCAGGTTGGATGGGGCTTTGAGCAACCTGGTGTAGTGGAGGGTGTCCCTGCCCATGGCAGGGGGCTTGGAACTAGATGATCTCTGAGGTCCCTTCCAACCCAAACCATTCCATGATTCTATGCCTTTCCCCCTTTATTCACTGCTTCCTCAGGCTACACCTGTGCGTGGTGTTCAGTGCACCTGGCCCTCAGTTGTTTCCACACTTTTATGTCAGATACAGAGTGCCAAGCGTGTGCTGTGGGCTTGTTGATGCTTGGTGAAAGCATCAACACCGTGTTGCTTTCTGAAACAAAAGCCCAAAAGGCCTTTGTAGCCCTCTGAAGGAACGACTCGCCCCGCGGCGAGGTGGAAGTCTGTGGTGTTTTACCCTTTTGTTGTACGGCAGCACGAGCTGAGGTTAGTGCTTAGGTAAGAGCCTTCCTGCAGTAGTGCTGAGCACTGCTCGTTTGCTCGCTGGCAGCGTTCCCGTAGGTGCCATCCCTTGGCTGGGATGCTGGGATGTTCTGTTAAGCTCAGGTTATTAAAGAGGTTATTCCACCTTTTTGTCCCTGCTGAAGTGTTTATCTTTGTTCTTCCGACTGCTCGCACAACTGCATTTCGGCGGCGTTACGGTTTTCGTCTCGTAATGCCACGGCTTTGCATGAGTGTTGGCTTGTGTTTCAGTGGTGGGTGAAGATCTGTGCGGCAACTTGTGTCTGATGTTCCTAAATTTCATGTGACAGTTCACCGCCAAGCGCTTAACTGTGTCCGAAGGTTATGCCTGCTGGTTTTGGGAATAGTACCTAGAATTAGTGTGATGAAAGAGATTTAAGTCTCTCTTTCCATCGTACATTCCCTAGCATGCAAATTGCGTTGGCACTTTCCAGACTCGATCCTTTGTGGTCGCTTTCTGCTGTCCTTGCCTAGGCCTTTCTGCAGCAACAGGGTGAGGAAAGGTTTGGAAGCCAAGATTCGGCTTCATTTGGGAGTGAATGCCATCGCTGCTTTCTCTGTAAAAACTTGTGAGAGCTCAAATCGGTGATCCTTTGGAGTATTTTATGTTTATTAAGACATGTAGAGTGATCTGCTCGTAGAAAACATACTTGAAGGAAACACACGTGGTTTTTAGTGTTGGTTAGAAGAAAAAGGTGCTGCCTGGAAGAACTCCCCGGCATCGGGGCCGGCTGATGGGGAATCAGAAGTTTGTGCGGTGTCCTGCTGTGCTTGCTGCTGGTGTCTTGGACTATTTATGTCTAAAATAAGGTGTACTAGATACATGCTGCATGCCTGGATCCGAGCCTTGCTGTGCTCAGTGTCGGTTTCACTCCTCTCTGTGTGTGTGTATATATATATATTAGTTTTTTCATGCTTATTCCCTAAACTTTGTACTGAAATTTCCTTCTGCCTCGGTGAGGGAACACCTGTCAGCGACAGCACCTCCGTAGTAGGGTATTCTGATGTATTTTTACATGTGGCACTTACCTTTCTAAAACGATTTCGTTGTCTGTAAAATTGCAGTCCGCAGAGCAATCCCTGCTCAGCGATAGCAGCAGCTAAACACGGAGTTCAGGGAGCTTGGAAGTTTCCCAGACTCCGCAGTATTCTGGAGCACGTGATGTAGTGTACTCATTCTTGGTGCTCTCGCAAGGTTTGTATGCAGAGGGTCGTGTTTGTTATCGTGTAAGTGGTTAGGTGCAGCCTGCCCACTGGGAACGGGTGGCAGAGGCACTCGGGATCCTGTGAAATGGAGAAATTCCTGGCGTAAAAGGAATGCAGTCGTGAGAAACAGGAGAGCCTGGCTTTGAAATTACCCACTGCCTGTGGGCTATGCTGTATTTTAGGCCATATATGGCCTACCTGGGCTATGCTTTATTTTTGTCTCCCTCTTTGAATATGCTGACTCCTTCTCTGTGTCTTTTTTTTTTCTTCCCCCGTCCCCCTTCCTGTCTCTGTTTCCAGATAGGCGAAAGGATTCGAGTTATCCTGGACATGGAAGACAAAACGTTAGCGTTTGAGAGGGGCTATGAGTTCTTGGGAGTTGCCTTCAGAGGACTGCCAAAAGTTTGCCTGTATCCAGCAGTGTCTGCTGTGTATGGTAACACAGAAGTGACTTTGGTCTACCTGGGAAAACCTCTGGATGGATGACGTGGATTGTTTCGTTGGGACGGCGAGATGTGGATGACTGGGAGGAGAAATCTGCATGTTGGTTAGAGGGAAACGTGTATTAGAGGGAAAACAAGAAAGCGTGGGTGTGTGTCCAAGAACCATCGAGAGTATCACATGGAGTTTTGAAACGGAGGACCAGCCATACTTCAGGAATTGTGCTACATTTCCTCTTTCTACCAGGCCAGAAAAATCCTCAGGGTTGCAGTTGGTTGAGTGGGAAGCTGACACATGCATGTTGCACCAACAGATCCCATTGCTCAGATGGCGATGTGTGACCTCAAATATTTAAGAAAGGATTTAATATAAAACTGCTTGAGGAAATTAACCTGAGATGTGTAAGTAGCGTGTTTTGTGAAAGACTCCCATTTTAAAACTGCTTGTTCCTTCCCTTTCCTTCCTTTCCCTTTTCCCTCCTTCGGGCCGACGTGGGTGCCGGAGGAGAGCGAGTTTCTTTACGATTTTTACCACACTGAGAAGCATGGTCTGTCTGGACTGCCCTTCTCTAGTGTAACGACACAAAATGTGTGCAGCTATTTTTAAGTGTATTTTAAGGGTCGTGTATATAGGACACGGTGCAAAGAACAGTTAAAGGAAAGGGTTTGCTTTAATCTAACTGGGACGTAATTTCTTAAAGGGAAGAAAAAAATCCCCCACCATGTGGCATCGGAAAATATACCTCGGAGAGGTATAGAACATTCATGTCAGTGTGCCTCTGCTGTATTGTAAAGCATTTTTGGGATGCTCTTGTGGAGTACGGTGCGTCGTCGGGTCGTTTTCCGTGCAAGTTTCCACAGCTTTAGCGACAGTTTTGTTCTCCGTAGGAAACGCAAAACGTTTTCCCCACCAGTTTCCTTTGCCAGAATTTGCGGACCCCCTTCAGGAACGGAGGGCGAAACGCAGCGGTGAGCTTGTCTTCCCTTTCGACATCCAAAATACAAACTTTTAAAGCGTTTTTACACTTTCTAATCACTGTTGCAAAAGGTTTCAAAGGAACGTGGAAGGAGCATTCAGTTTCTGAATCCAGATCTCTTTTTCAGCTTCACTGGCTTTATAAGGCTTTAAGACTCGGCTGAGCCTTTCTTCAATTAAGTAGATTAAATAAAATACAATCAAATGATTTCTTATTAAATAAATAGTTAAATGAAATCCCCCAGTACCCGAGTATTCACCTGCTTGGTTTCAGTCAGGACGAGTAAAACTCTCGCCAGCCCTTTGAGGGTTCTGGATCTGGTTCAATGTTTGGGCTCTTCCCTTGCACCGGTTTTCCAAAAACCCTGGCCCTGGTGTGCTGGCCTTCGCGGGGTAGCCCGGGGTAAGGAGGGACTTTCTGGTGTAACAGCTTTCCTCGGAGGTCCAAAGGTCCGTAGGGAGCCCCCGAAGGGCTCCTTTCAGCAGGGCATTAAGATCTGCGAGCCCTGAAGTTGGCTCTTAACTCTCATTTCTTGCTGGTTGGCGTTTCCCAGAGCTGTCTGAACCATTTCAGACTGGGCCAGCATGCTTTTCCGAGAGGGAGAAGGAAACGTTTATACAACCTCTTTTTGCTTTATTTGCGCTAGAGAATGCGAATTGCTGAATACCAGACACCAGCAATTCTCTGAGCATGGAAGAGAGGGGGATTCCTCTTAGGCTGCTGCTTATTTCCCCTCCCATTACTCCAGTAACGTGAGGAGAGTGGTTCAAGCAGGTGAGTGCTGCTGACGAGCTGTCCTTGGAGTGCTTTGTACCTGGTAGGTATCCAAATTCTGCACCGGAGCAGGGTCCGTGCGTTGTTACCGTTTGAAAAGGATTTGAAAGTATTTATTTGACGTGGTGTCCGTTGCTTAAAGGCAATATCGAGGTCTGGTCCTCTGGGATGTGTTAAAGGAACAAAACAGGGAGAAGTGGAGCTGTTTTAGGTGGTGCTGAGAACAACCCACTGAGTAAGGGAAGTGGGATGGGCACTTTGGAAAAATCTGTTACAAGCACTGATTGTACTAGACTGTAAATTGCGTAGCAGAACCGTGGGGCATGAAAAAGGTAACAAAACCCTGCGGGGAAAAAAAGGAAACAAAACCCTGGGAGGGAAAGGAAACAAAACCCTGGGGGGGGAGGGGGGAAAAGGAAACAAAACCCTGTCCAATTTCAGAAAATAAACTTATCCCTGAAGTGAATGTGTTCATCATGTCCTGAAAAACGTGACCTCTGCGCTCGTTCACGGCTCCAATTAGATGCAAGTAAACCCTGAGAACTTCCGAGGAGTTTTAGTCACAAATTCAGATCGATTTTTGTTCTTCAGACCGCGTCTCATCCTATAAATAATTCCCCTCTAAGTTAGAACTGCTGGAAGTCGAACATTCCTTGAGGGTGGGGTTGGGGGGGGGCACTCACTTATGTAAGATTGTAACTTATTCCTGGAGACCAGTGCTGGCTGTACAAAATATTAAAATAAACTCTGCTGTAATTCCGAAGGATTTATCGGTGTGTGTTGTTGCCATGACATCCGCGGCGGGGGGATGAGAGAAATGGAGAAGCAGTTGGTGCTTTTAGGAAGAAGTAGGTGATTCTAAGAAGAAGTAGGAGACCGTGTGGTGGTTGTGAGCTCTGGAGCACTTTACAAACTCTGCATCAAGAATTGACTTTTAAGTGGTGAACTTGAGGCTGACATCTCTGGGAGCTTCTTCTGGAGCAAAGAAGGTTGATGCTGGCTCGCCAAAAGTGTAGGATCGCTTTTTCTAACCAGAGGTACTTCAGAATCAGCTGAACAGCCGAATTTTTGTTTGAATTTTGATTCTGAATTTCTGTTTGAATTGTTGATTTTAACAAATCAACAGTGATTTGACCGTTTTGGTCAGGAGGAACATCAACTGCTCACAGCTGCCATGACACAAATCAATCTGCTTCACAGGTCTTGCCTTCAGAATCCTGCAGGGTATCTCTTATTTTCTTGGTAAATGAGCGTTTTGTCTGTTGTTTGAATAAAACTCGGAATTCCTTGTGGTTGTAACTGTGCCGGTGAAATCCGTTGGGAGCTCAGCAGTTGGTCGTCGGATCTGGTCAAGCGAAGAGCTCAAGACGGCCGTTTGTTTCGGGGCAGGGGCAGGTCGTAGCTTCGGGGGTGGCTTGTTGGGTTGGCCCAAAGTCAGGTGTGTGACTTCTTCTTCCATAAGAGGTCACAGGAGCTGTCAGAATGAAATAATAAATCAAGATGGCATGGGAAGAAGCTCACCATGACATGGGAAGAAGCGGATGTTTTTGGGAGCCCTGTGCATCCCTTCTACTAGCAGGCGCCGTTTGGTTTTGTCACTTTTGGCCATGTTCCATGTGCCACAACTAGCCAGGAGCTGGTGGCCTTGCT